ACCTGAACAAAACCCAAGTCAAACACAACCAAAACTAGTCCAACACGACAAAATTAACGAAAAAGCGAGACTAGCGTCAGCTCAGCCAGCCCTGCGCCCCTGCGGCTCAGCCAGCCCTGCGCCCCTGCGGCTCAGCCAGCGCGGCAGGAGGCGCCCGACCTCCAGCCTCTCTCAGCATCGGCCTTCCCCACGATTATAAATATTTTTGGCATCTGCACGACCTGCCAGGCGAAGGTTCCCAAAGCTCTTCACGAAAACCTCTAGCCCGGAGAAGGACAGGCCAAACCACAGCGATCACCAGAGGAGAAGGAATGCAAAGCAACGCCAAAGAGAGCTGGAAGGACCAGACGGGGACGTGTTGGCTGATCGGAAGCGGGCGGTTTGTCCCAGATCAGGTCACTCTGTCTTTCTCTACCGACCGTAATACGAACAAAGCCAACCGCTTTGGGAGGAAGATCACGGTACCCCCCCTGCACTGATCCATAAACGAAACGAAGGAGGGGTAGGAGGCATCGCTGCTGCGGCCCCCGGCAGTGAAGATGGTTTCGGAGCACGGGGGGGGTCTCCCATTCACATCGCAGACAAATCCAACAGTTGTGGGTCAAAAAAATCCCTAGGCTAAAAATACCCCTTCTGTCAACTTTCCCTCATTCCTCTACAAGGACTGTGCAGGCGTTAGGGCTCCCTGCGCTGCTCAGCCTCCCAAGAGATTAGGACTCTCTTGGTTCCTCTCTAATAAATACTACACCCAAATTTTTCCCTTTTAGAAAATCCATCAAGGGCTTTTAACCACAGGTGGAAGTACCCCCTCCGGCTTCAGAAGTCTCCAGCAACTCACTGCCAGAGCCCGGGAGGTTACACTGGAGAAAACATCACCGTATTTCACCTTCTTCTAATATTCTTCTCCTCTGCAGCCACTACTGGCCACTGTTAAGACAGGCTCCTGGCCAAGACGGACTTTCGCTCTGACCCAGAACGGACAGTGCGCCATGCTCTTCTCCAGCACGAACTGCATCTGATCTGTTTAGTATTATTTTTTTTTTTCCTTTTTAGCCAAGGTCCACTGGATTTTACCAACGAGGGAGCTATCTACTGGCTGCATCTCTGCAGAGCCAGGCGAGCCCCGACCTCTTCCCTCAGACCGGGAGATGCAGCAGCGCACTTCGGAGTCTCCGGGAGACTGGAAGTCTGGCACGTGCCTGACCACAGAGCCCCGCGCACGGCTCGGCTTCAGCCCCGGCTCGGGAGCAGAGGTTGCCCCTCGTCTGTCCCGGAGCGGCAGCGGCAAACGAGCTCGAGAGGGGTCGGGGCAGC